TGGAGAAGATGGATTGTTTATATTCAAAAGAAACATAGAGTGGTAGAATATAATTTAGGTTTCTAGATTTTTTTTATGTTTGTTTACTTCTATCTTTTCTTGTAGATTAAGATATTTTGTGGAGTTAGAGATATTAGTATTTGTTTACTTTTATACGAATATTATCCTGGGATTAGGTTTGGGAAGTTCTGGGGGGGGGGTGGGGGGTTATTGATTGTTTATTGTGTTTATGTATGATTGTTTTTTTATGATGGGAAAAATAAATAAAATTTTCAAAAAAAAAAATAGTTTCTCTATCACTTCTCTTACCAGCTTTATGTGATCAGTCATGTTCGTGCTGTATATCAGGATATCATCAAGATACACCAAAACCCCCTTGTACAAGTGATCATGTAGTACCTCATTAATCAATTGCATGAATACAGCTGGGGCCCCCTGTAGTCCAAACGGCATGACTTTGAACTGATAGCTTCCCATTGGACAGTTGAAAGCAGTTTTCCACTTGTCTCCCTCTTTTATTCTCACCCGGTAGTATGCCTCTCTCAGGTCTAGTTTAGTGAAGACATTCCCTTTAGCCAGATGGGTTAATAAGTCCTTTAGGAGGGGGAGTGGGTATTTGTTTTCCACACTCACAGCATTGAGACCCTTATAGTCCACGCAGAGACGAAGCGACCCATCTTTTTTTTCTTTGAATAGCACAGGGGCTCCCATGGTGGATTTGGCCCGTTCAATAAACCCCCTCGCTAGGTTTTTGTTCACGTATCGCTGCATCTCCTCCATTTCGAGGGGGGACATAGCATACATTCTCGGTCGTGGGAGTTTGGCTCCCGGCACCAGTTTGATGGAGCAGTCATTGGGTCTGTGAGGGGGTAGGGCATCACATTCTTTTTCACTAAAAACCTCCGCCAGGTCCCGGTATTCATTGGGGATGACTGGTTCGCGTGGAGTCGGTGAGGCGGCCATGTGCGCTCGCTCATTGGGTGGCCTAAGGTGCCCTGCAACATCCGTTGACTCAAGAGGGGGATTAGGCCCTATAGGTAGTCTCATGGTTCTCATTCCTTTCTCCCACCAGATGAATGGTTTCCATTTGTCTAACCAGGCTAACCCTAGGATCACTGTCTCAGTCATTTTTGGGGCCACCAGGAAACGAATAAATTCCCAATGTGCACCTATTTCCAGGCGTAAGGGCTCAGTTAATTGTGTGACAAGAGTCCCTCCCATCAGGGAGCCATCGGCTTGCTCAAACCTCACTGGTTTGGAAAGCTGTTTTGCCCGTATGCCCATGCTCATTGCAAACTGCCGACTAATAATGCAGCGGGTGCATCCAGTATCAATTAGCACATTTAAGTCCATTTGTGCCCCAGACTTAGGGATTATAAGCTTGGCGACCAGTGAAAAAGGCGGGATTTGTTGACTCACCATCGGGTCGTTCTCTCCTTCATCGTCGCTGTCAAAGGAGGGTAGAGCAGGGGCGTGTCCAACCGGAGTCCCAGCGTCCTCCTGTGTGCGGGGTGTAATCTGGGTGACAGGTTCCTGCGTGAGCCGGTTGGAGTGAGCCGGTTGATAGGCCTGAGCCAAATCAAGTTTAGCAAAAATGCGGCCTCCCTTGAGGGAAGCCAGAATGTGGCTCACCACGGGCACCAGGTACGAATGCTGCTGCAAGGCTTTGTTAAGTGTACACTTATAGTCCGCACAAATTTGGACTTCTCCATTGGCCTTCAGTGGCGTTACTATGGGAGTTTCCCATGGACTGCTGTCCACAGGTTCTAAAATGCCCTGCTGGAGCAACTTGTCCAGCTCTGCATTGATTCTATTTTTCAATGCGAAGGGCACCCGTCTAGGCTTAATCCTAATGGGTGCAACGGCTGGGTCTAAACGCAAGGAAATGGGAGGGCCCTTGTACGAGCCAAGCTCTGAACTGAACACATCAGCAAACTCCTTGCAAACTTCTGCAAGGCCGGTCGTTTGCAGACTGTGAAGTCCAGTCACTTGGATTCCCAGGGCCTCGAACCAATCGAGTCCAATAAGACTCATACGATCACCCCCAACTACCACCACATCTAAGAATCCCTTGAAGTTCCTACGCTGCACTTGGATTGTGGCTTCCCCCTTCACGCTGACTCGGGAATTCTGAAAGTCAGTAAGAATCAGATTCGACGGCCTGAGTTTAACTCGCTGGCCGCTTCTACAGCAAATCTTTTTAAAAGTGTCCTGTGAGATAATCGATAAAGCGGATCTGGTGTCCAACTCCATTGATAGGGGAACCCCTTGCAACCTCACATCAATGTGAAGCTTCTTTCTAAGCGGCCTATGAGCCCCTTTTTTGAAAATGCTTCTGCGCGACGCGCAGAAACCCACCCTATGTTGGCTGGGGACCCTGGTACCTTTCCGAAGCAATTCTTCCGAAGGCTTGTCCTTCTGGCGACCCAAACAGATGGAGGCAATGTGGCCTTGCCTGCCACATGCCCGGCAAATGGTGGAGCGGAAACGGCAATCGGAGCGCTTGTGGTGTCCTCCACATCCAAAACACCGAGGGAATAAAGTTGCCTTGTCAGAAGGTTCTTGAGGCCTCTTCTCCGCTGGCTGCTGTAGTCTGTCCAACTCCATCTCTGGATCCTGTTCGGATTCTTCTCGAGCGACCTCTTGATGGATGGAGACTGCCATTGGAGGGTTCTTGGTGAGCCGCAAGGCCTTCACAGCTCCACCCGCTGCTTCTTCGGCTGCAATTTCTCTTAAAGCATCTTGGAAAGAGACATCTTCTTTTGCGAAGATTTTCGGTTGCAGCTCACGACTTCTCAGTCCACATACTAAACGATCCCGAAGTCTCTCTTCCAAGTCCTTGAATTCGCATGGCCTAGCTGCTTGTCGTAACGCAGCAATAAAGTCCGCAGCAGACTCACCAGGCCTCTGGTCCCTCTGCTCGAATGCGTGTCGTCATGCAATCACCGAAAGCTTCGGTTCAAAATGTTCACGCAGCATCTTCTTCAGCTCAGCATAAGCGATGGATTCAAGTGGTGCTGGGGCAACCAGATTTTCCGCAATATCAAAAGTCTCCTGCCCACAGACACACAATAACGTAGCAGCTTTAAGGCCGTCTTCTCTCGCTTGGTTTACTCGGAAGTAATTCTCTACCCGATCCACGTAGGAACTCCAGCGTTCTGGATGAGCTGTGTCAAATTCAGAGAGACGACCGATTTTGGACATCGTTGTCCGGTAGCCTCGACAACGCCTTGTGCTGCAATGGCTGAAGAAGGGGTCCCTTTGCCAAGCTCTCCTCCAGCATTCTCGTACTGGCAGGCAGAGTCGCTTCTTCGGGACGCCGGACTTCTCAGCTCTTCAGGCCTTTCGTGTTGAGTCAGCCTCTCTTTCGTTGTTTCATTTGCAGCACGATCCCACCTTCGTCGCCAATGTTCTGTTTCGTTCGCAAAGGAAATAAAACAGTCTTCTCTTTATTTTCTCCAACAGAACCGAAACAAAATGGCGCAGATTGTTCTTATACCCCCTTGCAGGGACAGTCACAGCCAATCAATGCAAGTCATTTCTCCCGCCTTGCACATGCGCGCAAGGCGGGAGACAGCCTGTCTGGTCCCGGGCATTCACGTGTCTGCCCAGGCCTTTCTGCAGCCTCCTGCACCTGCTGAATGACTCAGCAGCCCCAGGACATAACAGCCAGCATGCTTCATAAGCAATGGGAGCAAGAAGATGGCAAAGGCTAGGGCAGTGAAGTGCAGGGTGGCAAGGCCAACTGTATCTGGCACTGGGTTAGGGCAGCTGAGATTTCCTGAGGTGCCTGGGGTTTTCCACCACACTCCTGAGATGGTTGGGGCTTTACTGTAGCTCAGGGACTTCTTGCATCCACAAAGCCCCAATGCACCAAAAAGCCTCTGAGCCACAATATGGCAAGCAATCCCAGAGCTGAGCAGTTCTAGGGCATTTGCCACTCATATGGCAGGGTGCAGGGCAGCCAAAAAAGCACAGATGAAGAAGAAATAGGCAGGTGGGAGGAACTGAAAAAGAGGCAGTCCTTCACCTGGCTGAGACTTCAGGTCAAGAGGGGCCAAGCCCAGAATGGCTTGGATTGGCGTGGATATTCAGCTAACAACCAATGGAATTCAGTTAACAACAGCAACAGGGAGTGCTAGGACTGCTATCACTTCACAACTGCATTGCTTAGTGACAGAAATTCCAATCTCAATTGTGATCTAGTTGATGTCTACCTGCAGTTTTCTTGGCAAGGCTTTTTCAGAAGCAATTTGCCACTGCCTCCTTCCTAGGGCTGAGAGGAAGTGGCCTAAGATCACCCAGCTGATTTTGTGCCTAAGGCGCAGAACTAGAACTTAGTGTCCCCATTTCTAACCTAATGCCTTTACTCCACGCCAGGGCACGATCTGACCATGGCAATAGGATGGAAAGTCTCTCCATCTCCAGATCTTTCAATAACAGCTTGAGGGGGAAAAATAAGATTGAAAGTATGCCCGCCAACATGCATCAAACCCAAGATTCCCAGAGACATGCCTATAATCACTCCATAAGTCATGGATTCTGAGTTCGTAACTTTCTTATTTAAAAGGTGTCCTGAATTGTGACTTAAATCCAGTCTGAAGCAGGAGATTCAAGGAACTGGACTGACACAGGAGTACCTACCAATGGAAAATAAATGCTTTCAAGTGTTTCAATCACCAACTGTTTGCAATGATATCTCCTATGCAGCTGCTAAGAAATTTATCAGTTCTGCTGCCCAACAGCAATGTGCATATGAAAAGTCTCTAATAGTTTCAGAATTCATTTTGCAAAAGCCTTGAACTTTCCAATAAAATGCCAAACAAATAATAAATATAAGGTGAAGGAAATATGCATACATTGATTTCCTAAAGGAGAAAAAACATTGAGTTACCTTACAAGATAGATTGAGTTACCTTACAAGCTGCCGTGCTTGTATGTGTAATCTATTGTTTTCCTCTTCCATACTTTTTGAAAAAAAAATTCAGATCTTCCAATTCATCTGCCAAGACTTTAGCTTGTTCCAGTGTTTCTTGGTTACTGTAATATAACAAAGTATGTGTTCAGTCGTAATGGTCTGAACTCTGCCTTTAAACTTTATTAACATGAATATGTGATGAACAGAGAACAATGTTGAAAAAGAAAGGAAGAAATAATTAGATATTAAACTCAAAATTAAGACAGAGATAGTCTACTCTAGGCACAAACTTATATTGGGAAACTGGCACTGCAGAAAGAAGCAAAAAACATTATAAAAAGATGTTGACAGAAAAATATATGAGGTATTAAGAGATGTTCAGTGTAGTGGGAATATTTCAAAGATCTGTACTGATCCCTCACTGAGTTACTTCTCTGTTTAACTTTCAGCAATATATGCATAATGTTGCATAAAGGCGTCAAATTATTTTTTTCCTTTTCCTAAGTACTTTCTCACATTCTTAATGTATTAGTTGCATTCTGAGATTAATCCTTATCAATCCTTACAATCATGTAAGACAGTTCTGTCATTTACCCTCTCAGCTTCCCTTTCAATTGACAAATCTCTTCAGAGAGTCTTGAATTGAGCTCTTTGGCAGCCTCAATAGTTCTCTGTAGTTTAACATTCTGCATTGCTAGCTGTTTGTTGTCATGGTGTAAGTCCTTGATATGGTTTGTCAAATCAGTAGCCTCTTCCTTTTTTTGGAAAAAAACAGAAAAAAACAATAAATTGGAAAGTGATTTTTGCAATTATATTCCATTACAACGCTAACTATACCACACTCATCATTACATATTCTACATATGGTATGCAACATTGGATCAAATATTTTATCTTAAGCAACAAATTGTTCATCACAACTATGGGGTCCAGAATAATTGTGAATGAATAGTTCCTATTGCCAATAATTCTGTCAACGCTGTGACAATGGATGTCGTCGCTCTGACAACTGAGAATCAGCAGCCATTTTTACTTTTGCTTCTAACGTGCCTTTTCTATTCTTTTAGAGTTCAGATGTAGAAAGGGGGAATGGGATGAATGCTTGATGGTTTAGCTATCCATAACAACGTAGAAGTGTGGAAACTCAAGGACGTGGTCTGATAAGATTTTGGTGGGCGTTAATTGGGGAATGTGATTTATGAAAGCGTTTGTGGGATGGGAATTGCAACTTGTTACTTTGTATCTGGGGGGAGGAATCTCAGTTTTGGGTTCTATTTTCTTTCCGAATAAAATGTTCTTTAAGGAAGAATTCTTGCCTTGAAGTTCTTTTACTGGTTTCATCTATCGGAACCATGACATATTCACTGTTCTTCTGATATAAGCTATAAGTTCAATGGAAGTAACTTTTCACCATTTCATCTATTATCAAAAATATTGTGGATAATACCTTTCATTGTGTATTATACATTTAAAACATTATTCACCTCACTTCTTATTCAAAAAGTGTTCATAGTGGCTGAGAAATAGTACTGTAAGTCAGTTAGCTAGATCATACATATACCATTTATATGTAGAAAGTAAGCAGAACATTTTTTTAAAAAAAAACTTTTTTACCTTGAATACATGACATTTTGTGGCATATAATTCTTTTTAAAACTATCTTAGCAAGAGAGTAAGGATTGACTACAAGAATAATTCCAGAAGATATTACATCTTGAAATAGCATTACTGTATATCATATTTTTTCTACATTGTGTTGAAGAGGTTGTACTCAAACTAGTGGGCATGGGTACTGGAGCACAGAAATGTTGATGGCAAAACTCAGGAGTGAAGGTTGAGGATATATTATAAAACTACAGTATTCAGTTACAGGCACAGAAACATAGATGAACTAACAGATAGCAGCAAGAATAAAGAAACCAGAATTAATATTGCCTGTATTGGGAAGAATACACTTGATGAAAGAGTCAAGAAAGTTCACTCTTTGGGTAGGAGAGACTTGCTATTGGAATAAGGTAGTTATTTGCAGAGGAGTTTGGTGAAAATATATAACTTTATTGAATTGTGGGCAACGAAACATAAAAAATGCCACATTAAACAAATCCATATGCCATACTGTATGCAGCATACTCCGCCATATGCAACAGGAATCCAGAAGTATCAACAGATGATGAACCTATATCAAACTTTATTACCAACAAAAAAAAGTTTGGAAATAATCTATTTTACTTATTCAATTTTGGCAGTAATATTTATCGGTTATGTTCAATTCTATCAATTTTCAGAATGCACAATTATGCCATTTATTTGAATCATTTTAATTTCTTGGCTTCAAATAGCTCCAGATACGGCAAATTTAAATCCTGCAATTTTATACTCTTCCAAAAATGCAACATTTAACTCCATTAACAGTCTCTTTGAGATTCAAGGCAAGAGATTTAGCTTCCTACTTTCAGGATATTTGCAAGCATCATTTTATTCATCCTCCATTAAATAGGTGCCTTCCAGAAATGCTGTATTACAACTTTCAACATTTCTATTTTCAAACAGAATAGCTAATACCTGTACTGAGACTGCAGTAATTACAGGCCAACTTTTTAGTTTTATCCTTCCTGTGTTTCAGGAAAACTTGTAAAGCTTTTCTTTTCCGGATAGCAGTAGAGGAGTTCCATAAAATGCAGATCAGATCTGTAGCACACGTGGCTTATTTATATGGATTTGGGTTTTATATGTATTTGGTTTGGGGGAATTTTAAATGTTCATTGTTTACTGTTCATTGTTAACCATGTAAGGCCTCTGAAAATTGGTGACATGCACATAAAGTAAAACAAACATTTATCATGCCTAACTGTTAGACACGAAATAGTCACAAATTGAAATTCACTCAGTTTAAGTTGCAAATAGAAAAGGAGTTTATTAACCTTAACAATAAAGTCTAAAAGGTAACGGTTTGCAAAGCGTGGTGGAGTCAGGAAGGCAGACAATGCAATGTAGCCTAACACTGAACCACACCCCAAATTCCAAAATCACATATTATTATACATCCTATCACGACGCCCCATTCCCTCCCCCATGGCCCCATTGGCTTAGGCTTTGGAGGTTACAATCTATCAGAAGCGCCTAAACAGAATACATTATCTCCGCCCCTGTTTGCTTACATTATACTAATAAGATCCCTCCCCTACTATCCTGTTTACTCAGACCATATATGTACATGCTTATCAATCTTGGAAATAAGATGTGTCCACACGCCTATCAATCTTCCACCTTTCAGACCAAGTAGTGGTACCAGGCACCAAAAGGTACAGAAAAACAATTCCTAGATGATGACTCATACCAGACGCCTTAGTAACTCCAGTTTCCCTCTCCCCTCATTTGGGACTTGTAATTTTCCAATATACATAAAGCATCTACTCAGGCAATTGATTATAAAATAATGATTATAAAATAACTAATCAATGATTACATGATAATACTAAAATATATTTTAATTTTATTTTTAAATGTCCTCACTACTTCCAGTTTTTTTTCACAAATCCACCCTTTTTCTTTTTACCCATTCTTTAAAAATAAAACATTAAAATTTTTCCAAATTTCTTTGTATTTCTAATGTCTTTTCATATTCTACAAAATTAGTTTCTTCATTGATTTGTGTAAGGTTATACATTTTTCTCTCTAGTGCAGTGGTTCTCAACCTTCCTAATGCCGCGACCCTTTAATACAGTTCCTCATGTTGTGGTGACCCCCAACCATAAAATTAGTAGTCCTCGACTTACGACCACAACTGAGCCCAACATTTCTGTTGCTAAGCAAGGCAGTTGTTGAGTTGCACCCATTTTACGACCTTTCTTGCTGCAGTTGTTAAGTGAATCACTGCAGTTATTAAGTTAGGAACACAGTTGTTAAATGAATCTGGCTTCCCCATTGACTTTGCCTGTCAAAAGATTGCTAAAAATAATCACATGACCCTGGGACACTGCAACCATCATAAATACAGGCCAGTTGCCAAGCATCCACATTTTGATCACATGACCAATTGAAGGAAAAGCAGCAAGAGAATGGAAGAAAGGAAAAGGGTTATAAATAAAAAATCAGAACCCCTGTAACATTTTGTGGATGAAGCAAGGGGTTACATGGCTACTTTTCATAGACGTTTCCCAAAACAGAAGGATACGACTTTACACCTGTCCGAGATTCCAGCTATTTCATTCCCTCCTTCCAACATTTTCACCTTCCACTGAGCGTACTTGATTCTCATCTAAATGTTTTCTGACAAGTTTCAAGTTCAAGTTTCAAGTTTATTGCATTTATATCCCGCCCTTCTCCTAGTGGACTCAGGGCGGCTTACAGCCAATTAAAAACAGAACAATCGATACAAATCTACAAAATTTAAAATCAATTAAAAGATATATTCAATAGGCCTATTCTTATTTTAAAATTAATTAGAAACCAATTTAAAATGTCCCTAGGCCAGTNGGGCTCCAACAGAGAAGGCTCTCCCCCTGGGGGTCGCCAACCGGCACTGTCTGGTTGACGGCACCCTGAGGAGACCCGCTCTGTGGGAGCGTATCGGCCGGTGAGAGGTGATCTGTGGCAGAAGGCGGTCTCGGAGGTAGCCAGGTCTGATGCCATGGTGCGCTTTAAAGATGATAGTCAACACCTTGAAGCGCACCCGCATTTCCTTTTTCCTAACAATTTCTGGCAGTGGAGTATACACTTCCCCAATCGGAGCCTCGCCTTTGGATCCCAACCAGGCGGGAGGCAGAATAAAAGGAAACCGTTTAAAGGCAGGAGGAGGAAAAATCCCAAGGTTGGCTTGCTCCCAATTCACGACGAAAAAGGCGAAGGGAAGCTCGCAATTCGGGCTGGCAGGCTGGCTTGCTGGCTTTCTCGCCCGCGCCAACTCCCTTCTCTTCGCTTGCAGCCAGGCGATTCTGAGTTTAAGCGCAGCTCCTAGCAACCCCGAGGAAAATCCCATGGATGGGGGTGGAGAGACTCAATTAAGGTGCTTGCAACCCTCCCACGCAAGGGCAGAGACCAACCCCACGAATGGCCAGCCTGGCTCATGCCCGTGCAAAGCAGCAACTCCGATCTAAACCAGGGGGGGTTCAACAGAAAGGAGGCGAGCGAGTGAACAAAAGGGAGGGAATCAAAATACAAAAGGAACCCACCCCCACGGCAAAGCCCTCCGGCGTGCTGATTCCACAGCTACAACCCTTCCTTCCCTCCCTCCCTCCTTTCTCCTCCTACTCCTTCTCCTGCCTCACTCCCCCTCAACTCCCCGCCAGCCTGTCTCCCCTCTTCCACCGAAGCGCGAGCGACTGCATGCAAGCATGATCTGGAGCAGCTCCGCCGGCTTCACAGATTCCCCGGGAAGATACGTCACGGACGCCAATGTCCGGGCCGCGGCTTTTGATTGGTGAAAAGGCTGGGAGAAGGCGGGCTGAGTCGTTGGCTCTTGCTAGCTCTACCTGAGAGGCGGGGAGTTGCTCCTTTGATGCTTTAAGTCTTACCATTCTCTGTGTTGTTTTTATCCGCCTGGAGACGGATAGAGGAGCGGTGTCTCGGTTCCTAAGACCATCGGAAATATGTGTTTTCCGATGGTCTTAGGTGACCCCTGTGAAAAGGTCGTTCGACCCCCAAAGGGGTCACGACCCACAGGTTGAGAACCGCTGCTGTAGACGGATAATACGATTCAACATATATATTGGTGTTCTGTAACCCCAAGATCCATCCTCAGCCCATGTTGCTGGTCCATATATCTGTATTTCTACTTCAGACACTGGGTCTGCTCCCTTTCCATTTATTCCTATACCAAACATCCAATTTTTATTTCTCCCTGCAGTTTGTTGCACATACCAACTACCATTGCTGATAGTCAGATTTACTAGGTTACAGTTATCACTTCCACAAGTGGCTGTTTTTGTGGGTACTTTTAAAAGTTGAATATTCAAATATTCTTTTGGACTTTCATTTATACAGGACCACCATTTACATCGTATAGTTGATACAGTACATTCATCTGGGGGACAAAGATATTTATGGTTTGATGCATATGTATGAACCCAACTGACTCCCCCACAACCATCTACCGCTGCCCAATGATTGGCGGCTTTACATACATCAAATGTCACAGCAAAGGACTCAGTCAAGGATTTCTTCCATTGGGAAGTCCCTAATGTTATTTGGTTTCATCCATGTCCATTTGATTTATGTGTTTTAATTTGTAAAGCCCATCTCCGTGGGTCTTCTCTTGGATCATAACATTGTATCTTCTTGTCTTCTCCCTTACAAACTGAATATTGTGTTTTATTTAATTCACACATAGATTGAAATATACATCCCTTAGGTGCTTGGGTATGATATACCAAGGTTTTAATTACTGCGTTCCCTTTGGTGGCGTTCGTAATGCAGCCTTCACATCCTTCTGTTTTTGTTGCTTTCCTATATCGTTCTCTAGAAAGGGAGAGATAGATAACCATGGACAAGTATACAACACTAAGGATTTGCATTTTAGTCACTCTTCCTCTATATCTAAACTGTGATTAAGTTCTTGAATCTCTCGAGGCTGTTGGGATTCTGGGCACAATATGGATGTAAATTTGTTCCTGGTCCGGCACGCAATTACAACTCCTATAAGACAAAGAAAGATAGCAAACCTAATCCCACCCAGTCATATAGATCTGGTTTGGACATTCGGTTACTGTCGCTTGAGAGTGATCTTTAAAGGTTCTGGATTTGGAACACAGGTCCACTGTTCTTTTGGTTCAGCTACTGGTCCCTTCACTTGTGTGTAGTGGGTCCACCCTTTTTCCGCCGTCCGGACTGCGGTTTCAGAGGTCAGCAACACTTGGAACTTAGTTTGTAATTTTTCCTCCTTCCAACTCTGGATCAGAACCCAATTCCCCACACAGATCTTATGGACAGGAAACTCCAGAGGCGGCATCTGCGCCAGCAATCCTTGCCTCCTGCAATGATACTGGGACAGTTTATGCACATAATTTCTCATCACTTTATCTCTGGTAGATAATGAATCCATGCAGATTTCTCCAGGTGGGAATCCCACCCCATATAACAATTCATACGGTGATAGTCCTATGTCTTTCCTTGGCTGAGTCCTAATTCTTAGAAGAGCCAAAGGTAAGCATTTGATCCAGGGCATCTTTGTTTCCAAGATTAGTTTACTGATTCCTTCTTTTAATTTTCCATTAGCCCTTTCCATTTTCTTGCCCAATTTGAATTTCCTCCAATTCCTTTACATAAAATCCTTCTCCCTTCACTCCAGACACTCTAACTTGATTCTGACTAATCTTCATGGTAGGTATTAAAGTTGACACTGAAGTGCGCGCTGCCCCAGTATCAATCAAGAACACTACCTCTTCCTTCTCGGGTCCCACTTATAAATTTATCAAGGGCTCGTTGTGGGACCTAAAAATAAACTGCCCCTGACACCCCTAGTAAAAACTATCCTCTTCTTCCCACACTGAGTAAACTTGCTGCTCTCTCTCACATTTAGGGCAATCTTTTTTAAAGTGGCCCTTCATTCCACTTCCAAAGCACGTTCTCTCCCTATTCTGGTATCCACACCGAAATCCTCCAAATCCCCTTCCTCTACTCCCATTAACATACTGGTTTCTTTCATCCTTCCTATATCTTGTCTCAAAGGGACTCTTCTTATCCCCAAACTCTCTTCTAGGAGGTTTTTCCTGCTTCATCACTTGCTGTACTGTTGCTACCATCATCTTACTTTTCTGCCTTACTTTCTCTGTATCCCTCTGAACATACACTTTCTGAGCCTCTTTCAACAAATCATTTATTGGTTTGGCTGTTCAATCATCCAATCTCTGCAGCCTCTTATTTATATCAGGCCAGGATTTAGTAACAAATTGAACTCTGACCAGTGGTATATTGGCAGCATCATCTGGATCCATCCCTGTATATTTATGCATACCATCTTTTAGTCTTTGCAAAAAGGCAGCTGGGGATTCGTCCTTCTCTTGTTCTATCTGCAATGGCTTGGTCATATTTTGAGCCTTGGGTATAGCTTCTTTCATTCCTATAATTATAAGATTTCTCATGTCTTCCATATTTTGTCTTCCAGCCAAATCATTGTTATCCCAATTTGGTCTGGCCAGAGGAAGTTTTACATCTGCCGCTACCCCCCATTCGGGTGTTCCCTAGTCCAAATTGCTGCTGCTGCAGTTCTAATTAATTGTCTTTCTTCGGCCGAAAATAAAGCATTTAAAATAGCCGTCAGTTCATCCCAGGTATAAATGTTTGGTCCCAGTAAATTATCCAACTGTTCAGCAGCCCCCAGCAGGTCCTCAATTAGATTTTTCAATTCCTTTTTAAATGCCCTTACTTCAGATGCCTTTAACGGCTCTTGGACAAAGCTTATTCTTGGGGCATTGTTTCCATCTACCCCATTCGGCACCTCCCTTAAGGGGAAGGCTGATATATCTGGATGCTTATGAAAGGGAAAATTTTCAATGTCCTTTTTACACTGTTCTATTTCTCTTCTCAATTTTTTATATTTTGTATCCTCCTTCTCTGGCTGTTGTTGGGGCCAGGTTCCAATTCCTCCCACTGCCCCTTGAGGCATCGCCAGTGGGGGTTGGGCTGGAGCCTGATTTGGATTATAGGGTGGTGGACGATAGTCCCTATATCTTGGTTTTGTTTCTTCCTCTTCATCTAATTCTTTTTCCTCCTCTTTTTGTACCATTACAGGGACAGTTGATAATGTATCTACCCCAGAGATCCATTTATCTGGATTCCAAATTAAAGCATAATCCAACTCATTATCTAATGATTTACACACTTTTCTCTGCACATAATCATATAAATTTTGGCACGCGAAATAATCATTAGTTCCCATTCGCGGCCACTCTACTTTCTCATCCTCCCACCAAACAAAACAACACAAATTCACCATATCTTCTTTAGTCAAATTTAATCTATCAATTATCCTATTATAAGGTGACTTACCCCAATTACTTAGTAGGAGTCCTAAAGGACTCCCTGTATCTATGCTCAACCTAGGATTCTTTCTAATTTTCTTCACACATTTCCTTTCGGGAACACTCCGAGAATTGCCCATACTGGTTTACTGTACTGTTATCTTATCCTTACCAACCTAATGAGACCACCTTTCGCTTCACCAAGCTCCTGCTTCCCCCTTTTTCTCCACCAATCCTCTCATGAGGGTATGGCAAATACTGAAGGGTCAGCTCTCACTCAGTCTTGCTACCCCCTGTGGTACTTGGGACATCTAATGCACTCCTCACATAGATCTCAGATTCAAACAGTCCTACCCAGTCCTATCCCAACTGCCTAGGTGGTTTTTTTGTATCTGGCCACCCCAGATTTTACTCACCTAGGTTCGTGCACAAAGTTACCCGGTTTTTCCTGAGGCCGGCAATCTCTATTCCTGGTTCCCTCACCCTTCGTTTCTATTTGCAACTTCTATTTAGGTTCGTAGGGCTCTAGGGTTCACTCAGCACTCACCACTCCTGGAGTTCGAAGCTGGACTATCGAACTCAACAGGGCATGCCTTCCACATCGTCCTCCAAGTGAGGGAGTCCTGAACGAAATCCTGTTGAGTCCCGGGTTTTGGCACCAAAAATTGTTAGACACGAAATAGTCACAAATTGAAATTCACTCAGTTTAAGTTGCAAATAGAAAAGGAGTTTATTAACCTTAACAATAAAGTCTAAAAGGTAACGGTTTGCAAAGCGTGGTGGAGTCAGGAAGGTAGACAATGCAATGTAGCCTAACACTGAACCACACCCCAAATTCCAAAATCACATATTATTATACATCCTATCACGACGCCCCATTCCCTCCCCCATGGCCCCATTGGCTTAGGCTTTGGAGGTTACAATCTATCAGAAGCGCCTAAACAGAATACATTATCTCCGCCCCTGTTTGCTTACATTATACTAATAAGATCCCTCCCCTACTATCCTGTTTACTCAGACCATATATGTACATGCTTATCAATCTTGGAAATAAGATGTGTCCACATGCCTATCAATCTTGGAAATAAGATGTGTCCACACGCCTATCAATCTTCCACCTTTCAGACCAAGTAGTGGTACCAGGCACCAAAAGGTACAGAAAAACAATTCCTAGATGATGACTCATACCAGACGCCTTAGTAACTCCAGTTTCCCTCTCCCCTCATTTGGGACTTGTAATTTTCCAAAATACATAAAGCATCTACTCAGGCAATTGATTATAAAATAATGATTATAAAATAACTAATCAATGATTACATGATAATACTAAAATATATTTTATTTTTATTTTTAAATGTCCTCATTACTTCCAATTTTTTCCACATAACTTTCTTTAATATAATATCACAACATCACAACATTTGAGAACTGAATTAATCTGGGAAAGTTAATATTGATGCCAGAGCAAACTGTAAGACAACTTCTCAATACTGTTAATACTCACCCTTCCTGTTGACAGTCGGCAATCCAATCTTTCATAACAGAATAGAAGGTAGAAAAATCAACAGTAAGTCCTTGTTCTTCAGGGTCCAATCTCTTGTAGAGAGACTGAAGCCTCCAAGCTTCACAGCTTTGCCCTGTCATTTCTTGTAAGTATTCAATGATGTGGAAAACAGAAACTTGTCCTATGATCAGAATAAAGTGGATTATGAATGTGGATAGACAATCCAAAATTATACTTGTATGTACAATTATTTTAATGAAACACAGGCTAAACTGATATAAATATAAATAAATCAGTACTAGAAAACTAATATATAAGGCCAAAGATATTAAACTGATCTCCCTTGTTAGTTTTCCCATGTAAGGACAGATAAAAAAGGAGGAGGAAGAGGATGAGGAGAAGAGGAACAGCTATGTGTATGTTCATGTATATTATCGAGAGAGAGAGAGAGAGAGAGAGAGAGAGAGAGAGAGAGAGAGAGAGAGAGAGAGAGAGAGAGAGAGAGATTGTCATTGGTAAACATAACTGGTATGTAACTTTTTTTTCAGTCCCTTTGAGACAGTGTTGACTCCTGGCAACTGCCTGGAGAAGTCCCTGCAGTTTCCTTGGCAAGATTTCAAAAGTGGTTTGCCATTGCCTCCTTCCTAGGGCTGAGAGAGATTGACTGGCACAAGGTCTCTAATTGGCTTTGTGCCAAAGGCAAGACTAGAACTCACAGTCTCATATTTCTAGCCTGGTGCTTTAACCACTACAGCAAACTATGTGAACTAGCTGCTCTGTAAATGAATAAAGTCTTAGAAAACTCACAGAAGGAAATTTGTCTGAAATCTTTAATGTAGGATAATTTTTGTTTCCTTTTTTAAATGAGTTTCTTATGAACACAGAAAATCACTTGCAGCAAAACATTCTATACTGAAGCCTCAATATAGAAGTAGGGAAAGGTCTAAAATACCCTGAACATTTTCACTAAATCTTAAAACATTTTCAGCTTAATATATCATTTCCCTGTGTTAATTATATGTTATTTTTTTTCTACATTAACTTTATACATCCCATTTAATAAAAAACTTTCTTTAAAAAAGATAAAAACATGTTCATTTTTCTCCTATGCTAATTTCCCCAGCATTTTGTATAGCCATTTAGCTACTGTTGTATCAAAATGATAATTATGAGGCAGGTTATATGAGTCCTTTTCACTTGCCCCTAATGGTGGCATAAACATGCAATTTACTTTTTCTACTATATTTTCATGAAGCTGGCATCCCTAGCTGATTCACCAGTACTTCCAGCAATGTTTCCTTTCTTATCTCAAAAACATTTTCCCCATGGATTTGATCCGATATGCTGGAAGTACTTTCATTGCTGATGTGGTCAAGAGCTGCAATCTGCCCAGAGTTTATGGGTTATCTTAGGCTACTGTAGGCATAGCGCCTTCCCTCCTAAGTACTGCTTTCCATGACTATTTTATAAAAGGCTGAATGAAACTGGATACCTAACTTCCACAGAGTAATCTGCCCATTTGTCGGATCTTACATATTGATCAGATTTAGCTCTCTTTTGAAAAAGTAGGAGCACTGTGCTGCCCAGATTGATTTAAACTGGGAAAGAGCCAGATTCTGCCATATGTTGTTTGCTAGTTCTATCAACACTGAATACATTACAGATCTTTTGTTATCCAAAATGTAGTTTCATACAACATAAACCATAGGGCTGGAAGGGACCTTAGAGGTCTTCTAGTCCAACTTCCTGCTCAAGGCAGGAGGCATTATACTTCCTTGGTCAAATGGTTTTCCTGTCTATTTTTGAAAACCTCACTGATGGAGCACCCACAAATCCAGGAGGCAATCTATTCCATTGATTAATAGTTCTCACTATTATAAAATTTCTCCTTACTTCTACGTTGGATCTCTCTTTAACAAACGTCCACTCATTACTTCTTCTCCTGCACTCTGGTGCTTTGGAGAATAAGTCAATCCTCTCTTCTCTGTGATGGCCTCTCAAGTACTGGAAGACAGTTATCATGTCCCCCATAATCCTTCTCTACAATAGCCCAGACATAGCGGGCTCCCTCAACTGTTCATTACACAATTTAGCTTCCAGACCCCTTATTATCTTTGTTGCTCTTCTCTGCACATTTTCTAGTGTCTCAGCATCTTTTTTGTATCAGTATTTCAAGTGTGGCCTCACTAGTGTGGTATAAAGCAGTGTTATCACTTCTCATGATTTTGATGCTATCCTTTTGTTGATGCAGCCCAGGACTACATTGGCTTTTTGGCTGCTGAAGTTTTACGTAGTGGCCATATTTTTCCCAATTTAACTACTTTTAACTTGGAACTGCTTGCTTGGAATTGCTTGCTTGGAATTGCTTGCTTGGAATTTTACAAACTGTGAGTTGAAAAGAAGGGGGGAGGAGAAAAGTAGCAAAGGCCCTACTGATTGGATACTTCATTGCATTTAATTCCCCAGAGTTTGCTGGGAACTGCTTGCTTGGAACTGCTTGCTTGGAATTGTTTGCTTGGAATTGCTTGCTTGGAATCATATAACTAAAAATCATAAACAGCAGTGGTACATTCAGGGCAAGTGCGTCTGAGATTCCTTGTATCTAAGAATGTCTGGCTTAGTACAGTGCAACACTTGCTTTGCAGCTGTTTTTCACAGTACCCTCTTCAAACTTGGAAACTGTCCTATCTGTAAACAAATCACTAGTCTACAAGGACAGATTATCTATCTAGGGTCTGTAATCTGTGCTCTTCAGGTAGAAATTAGGTGTCCAGTTCAGCCCTTCTACTTTATTGAGCCTCCGCACTATCAGCCCCCTCTACCACAAAGATCCTGCAGGAGAAGGGCAGTATGGACAACCGTGGGATCTGTCAGGGTGAGAGCTGTAAACCATAAACACAAAGCTTTCGCTGTGTCCCTGCACAACAGATACAATGCCCTTGCTGACCTTAATAGGGAAATTAAGGAGACAGGTAAAGGTATTTGTGATGATAACTCAAATAAGCAGGGGATCGTGGACCAAGATAAAGAACTTGTTTCCGACAGGGAGAAGTGCAAATCAGGTATTACACATCAGTCATGCAAGAACAGAAAGGCATCCAAAAAGAGAAGCCACCTTCTGGTTGGTGATTCAATTATAAGGGATGTAAATTTAGGAAAGGACACAGAGGTTTCAAAAGAGGTCAGATGTCTCCCAGGTGCTACTGCCAGTAGGGACAAGAAGCGTATTTCTAAAATAATTAAGAATACCAGCAAGGACTGTGATGTGGAGGCTATTGTACATCTTGGCACTAACAATCTGTCCCAAAAAGATGTACTCTCTGTGCAGAATGATTTCAAGAGCTTGGGGCAGGAACTTAGCAAAATAGGCTGTAGGCTAACTTTTTCAGAGGTTTTACCAGTGTATAAAGAGCAAAATGGAAAAGGCCAGCGTATAGCACAATTCAATATGTGACTAAAGGAGTAGTGTAAAGGGGAAGGCTTTGGATATATTAGTCACGATGTCAGTAGCTGGTCCAATGAAAAAATGTACAAAAGAGATGGTTTGCATCCATCAAAGAAAGGGACTGAGTTACTCGGCTATAAATTCACAGATTTTCTGGAGGAATATTTAAACTAAACAGCGGGGACAGTGAGTTAATCGATACAGAGCATCCCTGTCCCCAGCAATCTAAAAACTATAGGGCTATCAGTGCATGTAACATAGATATGTGTGTGAACAAGAATACCAACCTTGCTGTCAAGCAAAATCAAGCTTTTAATAACAAGTGCCACACAAAGTGCACTAACCAAATAGCTGGTAAGACAATAGGGGAACTCAGGCACCACACAGGTTATGTAGAAAGTAAACATGGGGTCGGTCATAAAGGACTCAAATGTCTATACACCAATGCAAAGAGTATGAACAGCAAACAGGGTGAACTAGAAATTCAGGTTAATGAGGGCAGATATGATATTGTTGCCATTACAGAAACATGGTGGGATGAAACCCACAAATGGAACACACAGCTAGAGGGATTTAAATTATTTAAAAGAAACAGACCAAATAAAAGAGGAGGTGGAGTTGCTCTCTATATAAGAAATAATTACATCTCCACAGAAATAGAGCACAACAATGACGAAAACTGTTTTGAATGCATTTGGGTCAATATAAAAGGGAGAAAAAATGACATTGCCATAGGTGTATACTATAGGCCACCCAACCAAACAGAGGAAATAGATGAACTTTTTGCTAGTCAGCTAACTAAGGTATGTAGGAAGCACATCACCATAGTAATGGGGGACTTTAATTACCCTGACATCAACTGGGAGACAAACTCTGCACCAAG